CTACCATATGTTCTATATCTGTTCTGTTAACGCTAATGGACGTACCACGTATGCTTAAGCATGAACTTTAATTTCTGTATATGATCTGAATATAAATATGAATATGAATATGTATATGCATCTATTTCTGATTTGAAATCTGAATATGCATAAGACTCTGTTTTTGATAAGAATCTGTTTCTGATGTAAATTTTGATTTTTGACTCTGTAATGGATATCATTCATTAAAACCCTTTACTCTGTTATTATTCACTGGGCTCCAGCTCACTGTATTACTTATGTATGTAGGTGATCAGGCGTGTGACTAGGCCTAGAGCTTCTGCCTGGACTTTGTTTTGTTATCTAACTTATATGCCTCCCGTAGAGATTTCGGATATGTCAAGTGGTTTTGGCTATATGATTAAAGTTTAAGTTTTGTTTTCTTATTTGGTTAAACAAGTATTTGTTTATTTTGTAAATAGGGCTAAGTCCCTTTTTGTTTAATTTGTATATATATAATGACATAAGGATGCTATATAGATATGTATATAAAAAGTTTTAAAATTTTTCTATCCCATATATGTTTGCACAGCTCAATGGACGTTATATATTTGTTATCTGCTTCCACTGGCCCCTTATATTATGTTTTTTGTCTATGAAGCCTTCGGCAATCCTAGTATTACTGGTCGGTTATGACGCTAAACTTATAGGGGCGAGTTTGGGTCGTGACAGCTACGCACTTCTATTTTTTTGTTTTGATGAAAAAAAATTTCAAGTTCTGAACAAGTTCTTTTAAGGTTTAGTTACAGGCGGTGAAAATTATAAAATTTTACAGTTTTAATTTTTTTGGTGCTGAAATGAATCATGTTTTAAATTTTTTTACAATTTCATAACATTCTTTAGAACTGTAAAATTTTGTAGTTTCATAACATGTTTTCCAATTTGATTAATAAGAATAAATGCTTAATAGAATCATACTTTGAAACTGTAACATTTTACAATTTTAAATATTACTTTCAATTTGATCAATATTGGAGATTATTTACTACCCTACAAAAATTGAAAAATAATATATACTTTTTTCCATTGTTGTTTGTTGTTTGTTGTTTTTTTTTTTTTTCTTTTCTGTTCCAGTTTATTAATATTTAGCACATTTTGTTCTGTTTTTTCACTATAATTTCTCAATTTATTCCTTTTTTTTGGGGCAATATTATGGACATTCTGGTGAGTCTCTAATGATATTCTTGATGTTCGACGAACATTTTGGACATTCCGGTGACTTTTAGTGTTGTTCAGAACACTCAGGCGATACTCTAGCAAACTTCTGACGAGACTCCAGCGACTTCCTGGTGATATTAAATATTTCGGCAAATTTTCAATGATCGTTTGACGAAAATCCAGTGATAGTGGAATGTAACAACGTTTTTAAAGTTATAAAATAAAAATAAAAAATAGTAACTATTAAAAATATAATAGACTAATTGATACGAGTATTTTATTTTGAAATTAGATAAATTTTAAACTTTATGTATAGAACTTATTAATAAATGGCCCTTATTTAAAGTAGGCTCCACCAGGGGCGGCGCCACGTTGGGCTCAGGGGGGTCACGTGCCCCTGAGTATTGGGAAATTTTTTTTTTTCAAAACATAAAGAAAATATATTAAATAAAAAAATTATAAACATATTTTTTAAAGTGAAATATCAATGACATTTTTAAAATTATGAGAACAATAATGGTTATTTTGATTGAAAATAAGGAGGCTATAATAAATCATATTATTATCTATAAAAATTTCAATATAATGGTGATGTCTATCATTATTGACATGCAAACATAATTAATTTTAATGAAGATATAGAATTTATTGGATTGTTAGTTACATTTGACATGTGAAGTTTATCCTTTATGTGTTTCTTTCTATTCATAACTAAAATGACCACTATATAAATTATAATCAAGCAACACATATTCAGTTATAAAAATAAAAAATAAATAAAAAATCACAATAGGTCATAAATAATATCAGAATGAGTCATAACTAATAATTACTTGATATATAGTTATAACTAAAATAACAACCACAAGAACTTATAATTAAATTATATCTAACACTATAATGTATTATAACTAAAAACCACAAAGATCATAATTGTGACATATGATAGACACTTTTTTTGCGGTATGGTTTATAAAATTTCTCTACTAAAATATATCATTTCTGTCTCAACGTACCTTCTTTTTTAATTTTCCAATCCACCTATAAAATAGTTACTCCCCAAAATTTGTATAAAATTTAATCTCAAATCCTTTAATTTAAAATTCACATTTATCCAAATGAACTATTAACATTTAAGTTTAGTAATATCTCATTGTTGTTTATTATGAAAAAAAAAATTAATCAGTGTGTTTGGTTTGAATTTTTTGGATTAAGTTTTTTGAAAATTGAGTTTTTTTTTTTATTTTCTTGATTTTTTTTTTTGTTTTTAGTGAATATTTTTAAAATTTTAAACATTTTTTTTTTACTTTCTTAGATGCACCTTACTTAAATGTATCTAAAAAGTAAAAAATTTGTTAAAAAATATTTTAAAAAATTAATAAATATATAAAAATATAAAAAATATACTGAATTCTCATTTTTTTTTTGTATTTTTGACATTTAGTGAATTTTTAAATTTTTAAAATTATGAGAACAATAATGATTATTTTGATTGAAAATAAAGAAACTATAATAAGTCATATTATTATTTATAAAAATTTCAATATAATGGTGATGTGTATCATTATTGACATGCAAATATAATTAATTTTAATGAAGATATAGAATTTATTGGATTGTTAGTTACATTTGACATGTGGAGTTTATCCTTTATGTGTTTCTTTCTATTCATAACTAAAATGACCTCTATATAAATTATAATCAAGCAACACATATTCAATTATAAAAATAAAAAAATAATAAAAAATCACAATAGGCCATAAATAATATCAGAATGAGTCATAACTAATAATTACTTGATATATAGTTATAACTAAAATAACAACCACAAGAACTTATAACTAAATTATATCTAACACTATAATGTATTATAACTAAAGATCACAAAGATCATAATTGTGACATATGATAGACACTTTTTTTGCGGCATGTTTTATAAAATTTCTCTACTAAAATATATCATTTCTGTCTCAACGTACCTTTTTTTTTAATTTTCCAATCCACCTATAAAATAGTTACTCCCCAAAATTTGTATAAAATTTAATCTCAAATCCTTTAATTTAAAATTCACATTTACCCAAATGAACTATTAACATTTAAGTTTGGTAATATCTCATTGTTTTTTATTATGAAAAAAAAATTAGTCAGTGTGTTTGGTGTAGTTTTTTGAAAATTGAGTTTTTTTTATTTTCGTGATTTTTTTTTTTGTTTTTAGTGAATATTTTTAAAATTTTAAACATTTTTTTTTACTTTTTTAGATGCACCTTACTTAGATGTATCTAAAAAGTAAAAAAATTGTTAAAAAATATTTTAAAAAATTAATAAATACATAAAAATATAAAAAATATACTGAATTCTCATTTTTTTATTTTTATTTTTGGCATTTAGTGAATTTTTAAAAGGTTTTTTTCACAGTTTTTTTACTTTTTAAGTATATTTATGTAGGTATATCTAAAAAGTTAAAAAAAAAAATTGCTTAAAATATTAAAAAAATCAGTAAAAACAAAAAACAAGAAAAATAAGAAAGTAAAATTTTCTAAAAAATATTTTTTAAAAAATGAAACCAAATTATCATTAATTTATGCCCCTCTGCACTGAATTCCTAACTGGCTCCACAAACTAGCAACATCATGGGCTTGAGACCTCTTAGGCTTTTATTGCAGTTTTTGGGCTCATTTCATCAACACAAAATTCAGCTTCGTTTCGCAACTTGAGTTAGGTTGAATTTGGGACTATTTTAATTATAAAAAACAAAATAATTTTTTTTATTCAATAAGATAAAATATTATATTTAATTTATAATCATTATATTATTTCTCTCATAAAAACTCAAAAAAATCAAAAAACTTATCCCAAATGAACTTTTTTAGCCTGAAGTTAAAATAGTCAAAAAGTAAAAAAATCAATCCCTTTCCACACAAACTATGATACCATATGAGAGAATTATATCCAATATTACATGTTAAAGAACCATTTGGTTCGGACCACATTTCGTGGCTCGCTCTGCACTAGTCCATGGGTTTAGGGAGCTGGGAAAGAGGGTTGGATACTCACTCACTCACTCCCTCGTTGCCTTCCGCTCTCTCATGACAAACCACTGCAGAACACACACCTATTGATGAAATATTTTCCCAGCTTCAGCTCCCTGATGGTGCAAATACATGTGGTTGAAAAAATAAATTTAAAATTATTTGGATTTAAATAATCTATTTTAAAATAACATTAATTTGATTAAAGAAAAAAGTTCCAATCATAAAGCCGCGGCATGATTAATCATTAATAGTGTATGGATTGAGGAATTTGATTAAAAAAAAAAAATTGCTTTAACAATTAATAGAAAAATGATGAGACCTAAAAAAACATAAACTTTGTTATTATACCAGTTTAATTTCTCACAAAAATTGTGAGATTTGATTGAAAAAAATAAAAACAAAATTGATATGTCACAATGTTTAAATTGTTCATATATAAACGGTTCGGATTATCAAAATTGAGCCTAAAAATAAATCCGAAGGCCTGCAAGGACGGACGCAAGCACAAGCTTGCAAGGAGAGGCTCCTGACTCCAAAATAGATAGCCAAACAAAAAAACAATCTCACTTGTATCATTATATTCCAAATATAATATGAATTTTTTTTAATTTTTTATTTCCAACCACAATCATTTTTTTTCACGGAAAAGCAATGCAATATGGTTTCCTTTTTCAACCCATTTCAATATGCATAGAGAACTTATGACTCAAAAAGCAGGGTAAAAAAACAAACAAAAAAGATAATGAAAGGAAGCTGAGAATCGATTCAAAGTAGTATCTATCTCAACGGAAATAATTTTCAGAACTTTTCATTTCACATTTCTTACAGTTGCCACAAATCGAAGAAACAAGAGAAAAGAAACATCTAATATGAACCATATAGACACAAAAATTGAAGATGCATATTAACAATCTATTAATTCGCTTTCAAAAAGAGCTTCTAAATAAAAAGTCTACATGAAATTATGCTAATATGTTTTTCAAATATTCTAAACAAGCTTTCTTTTCATATCTGATCAGCTGAAGAAGCTCCAAAAGAGATCATTAATGGCAGATTCAAGCAATAAAAAAAAAGAAAAAAAAAAGACCCAAAAAAGAAAAACAAATTTTCGATCAAAACCCAAATCAAAGCCATGAAGAAACAGTGAGAAGAGGGACTTTGTTCCAAGCTAGAGAGAGAAAACCAGGTTCAGATTGAATCAATGAAAACAGAGTACTGTAATCGTACTTCCATAGAAGAATCTCAGCTTGACTCCTCGCGTAACGGCTAAGGGCTACCGACTCGAAACCAGCACTATCCATCAGAATCCTCCATTGTTCCTTATCTTCCATACGTTCTCTTCTTGTTCCCGGTTCGTCCGGTCCGATTACGCCGGCGATTCGCCGGCCGAATAGTAGTCTCTCGACTTGGAGCCTCTCCGGCGAGTCTCGGGACAAGTTGGGTTCGAGCGACTCGAAAATGGCGGAGTAGTACACCAGTGCGTTCTTGAACCGGGGAAGAAAACCAGCCCGGTTCAAACTCGCTTCGTACTCGCCCAAAGTGACGATGCTTGGGTTCAGAGACTTTGCCAATCTGAGAGCGGTCTCGACTACATCGTCGGTCTCGTCGAGGAGGTTGTAGAGCTGAAGCATGAAGTTCACGGCCAAAACCTCGTCCGGTTCGACCCGGAAACTTGAACCGTCGAGGTCCTGGATTGGGGTCAGAACCGGTTCGAACTCGAAGTTCAGACCCAGAAGCTTCGCGAAATCGCGAAGCCGGTTCCCGGTGGCGTGAAGCGCCGCCGCGGGAGATTTCCCCAGGGCCGGAGCTGGAATGCCGGAGATCCGAACCATGTCGGGTTTTCCGGCGGTTCGAGTTGCTAGAGCTTGAAGAAAGGCAGACCATTGAACACCTTGAACGACTCCGAAATCGACTATGTGGATCTTCTTCGCTCTCTCGGTTGCTTCGAGAATTGCTTGGTTCGCTGTCAAATGGGCAAATTTGGAATAAGGACAAGCGTCGTTGAGAGCTTTGTATGAGAGAGTGTACTCTTCTGAAGTGGTTTCGAAGATCGTCGGGGTCTTCTCGGCTTGGTGTGAGACTCTGGAGAAGAGAGCTTCAGTGAAGTAAAAACCCACTCTCTCAATTGGATCTCCATGTTCGCTCACCGATTCTCGAACTCGATTCAGCGATTTCACAGCCTTTTCTGGGTCAGACTCTGCAAATCGAGAACAATCAAGCAGAGCTTTCAGAAGCGGTTTTGACGAATCGTGTTCTGGCGATTTGGAAGCTCCGGCAACGGCATCGTTGTTCTTCGGCAAAGGATTGGTCTCCGATTGTGGAACCGGAGACGATGGAACCCATGGAAGAGAGCTCTGAGGTTGAAGACTGGCATTTTTCTGGGTATTGGAGAAAATTACTCGATTGAGATCAGACGGTGGAGACGAAGCTACACTGAGTCGACTCGGGCAAGCAACAAACGGATCAGAAGCGTAGATACTAAAATCAGCAGCGTTGCTCTGCCAAGCGTTTGAACTATCCGTTGAATCTCCAGCACCAATCAAACTCTCCATCCACTCGTCCGAGTCGAACTCACCGCCAGACCCACCACCAAAATCGGCGAATCTGAAGGCGGCGGGGTGGTGTTCCAAATTGGGAAACTGAAACCCGGGTTCGCCGCCGTGGTCCGGCGCATCCACCGGAAAAGGGTCGGCGAAGGCATAACCCATGGTGGGGCTGGTGGAGAGGGTCTGGTTGGTGGTGGTCCATGGGCTGAGACAAAAAGGGGGTACACCGACGAGTTGTTGTTGCTGTTGATGGTGGTGTTGCTCTTGCTCTTGCTGTTGCTTTTGCTTGATCACTTGTTGAGCAATTGCCATTAGATTTCCACTGTCTGCACACATATATGCCATTCTCCGGCCAAATCTCGCCGGCTAAGTTTCTCTCACATCACACTTAGAGAGAGAAAGTGAGGAGAGAGGGGAGGGGAGCGCTACGGCGGCGAAGTGGTGGTGGATTTAAAGAAGGGGGAGCTTGAGACTAGAAGGTGGACTAGCGCTGATTAAAGTGACCCTCTCGAGGTGAACCGAGTATGTGGGTCCCATAGTTCTATATATGGAGATATTTTTAAAAGAATAAAAATAAGTAAATAAAAAGTGGAGTAAGATGATCAAAATGATGAAACCCTACATATCCTACAAGTAGCCCTAGTCAGACCGATCTCTGTGCATTGAGTGAGTCTACAGTTAAGAGGCCAACCGAGAAATTACAAATGTTTAAAATAAATTTTAAATCAATGCAATAAAACTTGTCAATTTTGAGATTATTTGATACTATTAAAATAGCACATTCATTATGGGGTGTTTGGTGATACTTTTGATTTTTAAAAAAATTATTTTAGGCTATTTGATTAAAGTTTACTTTAAACAGTTTTTTATTTTAATAACTTATTTTAAATTAAAAAAAAGTTGATTCTGAAATTATCAGCTACGGTTATATTTTTAAATTTTTTTATTTTATATTTTTTTTAAAAATAGAAAAAGACTCAAATAAATTATAAAATATTATTATTATTTTTTATGAGAAATGTAGACAAATAGTAAATAATAAAAAATAAAAATTAATTGAAAAAGTTACTCCACAGCTTATTTAACAACATTACTCAGCAACTTAAATTTATAATCTAACAGTTATACCAAACAAATTAACAGCTTCTGATTAAAATCATAATCTATAATCTGTTAAGTTATAATTTATAATCTATTTTAACAGCTACACCAAACAGCATCATTATCTTTTAATTTTTTTAATAACATGCTTGTTTGTTTTCGTTTTTTTAAAACAGTTTTCAAAAAAAATTTACTTTCTTATTTTTCGTATTTTTTTATTTTTACTGAACTTTTTTTAATATTTTAAATATTTTTTTATTTTTAGACATACCTAACATAAATATAAATATAAAAATAAAAAGTTTGTGAAAAAAATCTTTTAAAAATTTACTAAATACCAAAAATATAACAAAAATGCGAGAATTAAGTACATTTTTTGTATTTTTATGTATTTATTAATTTTTAAAAATACTTTTGCATGAATTTTTTTTTTAGATACATCTAAATAAGGTGTATCTAAAAAAGTAAAAAAAAAATACTTAAAATTTTAAAAATATTCACTAAAAACAAAAAAAAAATACAAAAAATAAAAGAACTCAATTTTCAAAAAATTTAATTCAGAAAACTCAAACCAAACACACTAGCTTCGTTTGGGAAGTGGGTTAGCTTTTTGACTTTTTGGCTTTTTTGGCTATTTTAGCTTGGCTAGAAAGCTTGGTTTGGGAAGGACCTTTTGACTTTTTGACTTTTTTTTGTGAGAGAAGAGTGTAATGATTATGGGTTGGATGTGATATTTTGTTTATTGTGGCTAAAATAGCCTATTTTGTCTTTTGTGACTAAAATAATCAAAAAAACCCATAAACCAACTTGGCAAACGGAGGCTTATTATTTTTTTATACGTCTTTTTAAAATAGTCTACTCTCAAACAATTCAAATAATTGAAATTATATATATATATATATATATAATTGGACGGTCTCTCATCCTTTATTGAATTGGATAGTCTAATTCGGCCTAGTGGGCCAATTTTGGGCACCTTTTTGATAATTCGAATGATTCGCATTTGAAAATTCACCAAGTATAATACATTTGAAAAAGATTAAGTCAATTTAATAACGATAATCACGTGTTTTGATTATATAAATCGTTTATTTTCACATTGTCTATTTTTTCATGCAAAACTGATTCACATACATGATTCCACTATCCAATCAATTTGATTTTTTTGCAAAGATAATGTACCCGACAAATCCTAAAATGAAAATGATTCAGATTATTGAAATAAAACCCAAAACTAAATCCAATGGGCCCAACAACACCTCTCGTGTCCAATTTAAGATGGGAAAGAAGCCAATCTTTTTTTTTCCGTTTACAATTATTTTGCAATTTCCTCAATTATATACAATGGGAATCGTGGTAACCTCAATGCGATGTTATTCTCATGTTGGACTCTTCTTGAACAATACGTATGGTTGATAGGACAAACATTTTAAGTTTTGATAAATCATACTCAGTGTGAACCCACAACTTACCTCTGCATCATTAAATGCCTTTATTGTGTAGAAAAATCATATAAGAGCATCTCTAATGGACTGCTAAAACACTTGTTATTGCCAAAATATGGCAACTTGGGTTAAAATGGGTTCTCTAATGGCATGCTCTAGCAGTAGAGATGGCAATTTGAAACCGGCCCGACGGGGACCCGACCCCCCGGCCCTGAATTGTGCAAGTTTTCTCTGAAAAATACCCCCGACGGGACGGGGATGGTATTTAAAATTCAGTTCCCAAACAGATTCGGGCCGGGGACAGGGACAAGTGTCCCAGCCCGGTGCCCGGCCCGGTTTGTCCCCGAAATGAAATTACCAATTTACCCCTAGATATATATATACATACACTGTGACCTAACCAAACCAAACCCTCATCTCATCCTCTCCAGTTCTGTTTCTCTCTCTCTCTCTCTCTCTCTCTCTCTCTCTCTCTCTCTCTCTCTCTTCCCTCTACTCTCTCTCGACGTCGATCATCACTGTAACCAAATTAGATCTGGTGGAGTTCGCGGCGTCGATCATCACTGTCCACGACGCCGAAGGAGTCCTTCCGTCGTCCATCGCCACTGTCGCGACGCAGTCAGCCACAACCACCCATCGTGACGCTGATGATGCTCTCAGATCGTCCATCGCCACCGATCGTCCTCCTCCATCAACTCTACCAGATCTAGTTTCTCTCTCTCTCTCTCTCTCTCAGATCTTTCTGTCAATTTTATTTTTTTATTTTTTTTATTTTTTTATTTTTTTTAGTCTGTATGTTGTTGATCTGGTTGAAAATGTATGTGATGTTGTTGATCGTCCATCTCTCTCTCTCTCTCTCTCTCTCTCTCTCTCACTCACTTTAGTCTCTTGATGTTGTTGATCTTTCTGTATGTTGTTGAAAATGTATGTGATGTTGTTGATATTGAAAGAAATTTTGGCGGGAAATTTTCGGGATCGGGGAAACCCGATCCCTGATCGGGGGCGGGGGTGGGGAGAGGGAAAGGAGCCCCGTCGGGGATCGGGGCCAGGGACGGGGCCATGTTCACCATCGGGGATCGGGGACGGGGAGTGTGATCCCCGGCCCTGCCCCACCCCGTTGCCACTCCTATGTAGCAGCTACCAAATCTGTCAATTCACCCAAAACTAACTACTTTCTTTTATTCCTTTCCTCGCTTTCTCATCCTTTTCCAGAAAAAATTTCCCAAAACATATAATTTTTTTCAAAAAAAACAAAATTCACTAATTTCTTTTAAATAGAATTCACAAATTTGTTTATATAGATTTGGCATTTTTTTTTAGTTAACAAATCTCAATAAATCTCAAGCAAATAACAACAATCTCAAACAAAGATTCCAAAATTTGAAGCAAGAAATACCTGGATTTCATTATGTCTTACAAGTTTAAGTTTGTGATATGCGATTTGTGAAGAGGGCTGCGAATAGGGTTCTTTGATCTGCGATCTGCGAATGTCTCTTGATCTGCGGTCTTCATTTTCACCTTTTTTGTGATATGCGAAAAAGGGTTTGTGATCTTTGATCTCGTTCACTAATGTTCGCCAGAGAGAGATGAACGAGATTAAGAAATAGATAGGGATGGAATGTAACTGTAAGAGACCGAGATAAAGAGAAGGAGAAGGAGAAGGAGAAAGAAATATGATACTACATCTAGTGGTGATGGGTTATGGGAAAGAGACAATAGAGAATGATGGAGAAAGAGTGAGAGAGACGCTACTTTGTTCGTCGAACAGAAAAAGAGTGAGGCGGGTCGGTGAGGAGGTTCTGGATTAAGAGAGCAGAAAGAGGGAGTGTGAATGAAAAAGATGGAGAGAGAGCCATATTCGCAGAAATGAGAAAGAAATTTTGGGGGTTTTCAATGTATTTTAATTTATTTTTCAATGTAATTTATTTGTCAATGTAATTTTATTTTATTTTTATATTTTTTAGTGGGTATAATGTAAATATTTAATTTGTTTAAGAAATTTTTTTCAAAATGTCATAAAAAATAAAAATAAAAAACTATATCCAAGCACTATCTAAAAAATATGAGGGAAAGTTGGTTAAAATTTTGCCAAAATAGCTTCATACCATTAGAACACTATTGATATAATTTGACAATTTACTATATAAATTGCCAAATTATAACTTTAGCAATGCTATAATGTCCCGCTAGATAGCTCGAATTCACTATGGCTCGAATTACTCGAGGTGCCAAAACGACGTCATTTTGGCACCTTGTTTTTTTGTTTTTTGTTTCTTCTTCCTCTCCTTCTCTTCTTCCTCTTCTTCTTTCCCCCTCTGCTCTGCTCGTCAAAAAAAATCTAAATTTAAATCTAAATCAAAATAAAAAAAATCTACATCAAATTAAAAAAAAACCAAACCAAATCGACATAGATCTACCAAATCTATACAAATCAAAATCAAAATCTAAAATCAAAATCAAAACCAAATCCAAAAACAAACCCACAGCAATAGAAGAGTAGGGGAACAAAGAAGAAGAGAGAAAAACAGATGAAGAAGGAGAAGAGAGAAGAACAGAGAAAGAAAGAGGAAAAGGAGAAAGGAGGAAAAAGAAAAGAGAAGAATATAGGAAGAATGAGAAGAGGAAGAATAGATGAAGAAGAGAAAAGGAACAAAAATTGGCAACCATCACCGTCGCAAACCCTCCATCATTGTCGCCCACCGCCATCACCGTTGCTCTGTGTGTATACATAGATCTGTGTATACATACACACATAGATCTGTGTGTATACACAACCCATCATCTCTCTTCCTCCCTCTTCTCTTTTCCTTCTCTCTTCCTCCCTCTTATTTGTTTCTTCTCTCTTCTTCCTGTTTCAGAGAGAAAAGAGAGGGAAAAAAAATTCAAAATGACGTTGTTTTGAAATTCGGGCTAGTCGAGCCTCGAAAATCTCGAACTACCAAGCTTTATTCAATAACAATTGCCAATTAAGA